CTGAGATCGGTCTGCCCCCTTCCACATCTCACAGAAAGCAACTTTCTCCTTTGAGCACATATGAACAGGTCAAGTGTGGAGTCCTGGTTTGACCCCTGCCGTAACATGAGGAGGCTGGGGGTGGTGGTGGAGGCCAAGGCTGGTCAGGCCTGGCCCATAGTGTCCCTTTCTTCCCACATTCCTTAAGAACTAAACTGTGGAATCTAGAATTATCCCTCAGTCTCAATGTCCCCTCAAATCAACAGATTTCTCCAAGGAACAAGGAACTTCAAATTTAAGATTCTCGGGAAGAGGAGAAAGCAAAGGTCATCCAAGAGGGAATGAAATCTCCGACCTCTGTGGGAGATCCTTGCATCCATGGACTTCCCCATAAAACAGAAAGAGAGAGAAGCAAACACAACCCGATGGAGTCTAGGGAGTGGCAGGGGTTCCCTGTTGCTGACTCCCATGAGATTAATTTCCCTGGACTGTACTCAGTGGTTTATTGGGCTGTCCCACTAGGTAACGAAATCAGAGCTGGGGGTTCACTGGGCATCAGGGGCTCATGGTCCAGATTATGTCTGGTTAAACAGAGAGGAGAAAAGCAGCAAAGCTTTTCCTCCCTTTCCCCCCGATGGAAATATGGTCTGCACTCAGAAACATCTCTGTTTCCCTGTCATTTCCAAATGCTTGACTTCGGATGGGGGTGGGAAAATCAAGGGGAAGATGCCCTCCTGATTGATCCCCGCTGCAGCCCTCAGGTTCCACAGACCAGGGGTTGAGCTGAGTCTGCTAGTGCGTGCTTGGAGATCCCGCCACTCAAGCTAGGGCAAGAAGGGTGTCCTCTCTTCGACTTCTCCCCTTGCCCCCTCCCTCCCACTGCTCTGGACCCTTTTAGCTTTCTCCACCCCCCCACCCCCACCACACACCTCCGTCTGTTCCTGGAGCTTCTCTGTGTGTGTGCGTGCAAGCGGGAGAGCCAGCGAGAGGAAACGACCTGCGAGGGGGAGTTTGGGGCCGCGTGTCCTCGCGCATCTTCTTCTCCTGCTCATCTCGCCATCTCACCAGGGAAGTTGAGTGTTGGGGAGGGGGGTGATGGGAGGATAGAGTACAGCCAGAGTGCAGGGAGTGTGGGGGAAGGGTCAGGAATTGGGAAAAGGGTAGCTCTTGCTGCCGCTGGAATTCATAGTAAGCAGCGGCACTCTGGATCCCTGCCCCAAAAGGGGGCCTGGCACCCCCCACCCCTCCCCGCCCAAGGTGACCGCTGACGCTGTGGCCCGAGAGTCATCAACATCTTTCCAAAGGATCTGGAATTCAGCTTCAAAAACTGAATCGTGCTGTGTGGAGTAGCCGGAAGAATGAAGCGTAGGAGTCTGTGGTCTGGCCAGGGAAGCCACGTGGAGGGGTCTTTTGCTTCCGGCCCCAAGCCACCTGGATACTACCCAGCCCGGGACTTCAGAGCGGGTTCTGGGAAACAGGCTGAGTGGGAGAGAAGCCCAATTAACCTTGTTTCCAGGGCAGGATAAGACTCAGGCCTCGGGATGGGTGCCGAGTTCCTTTTCTCTCTAGTTGTCCCTGCCAGGCCTGTCCCATGCCATGAGCAGACCAGATTCCAGATTTGAGTCTGGGATTTGCGCCTAGCTTCATACACCATGCGAGAAATGGGGGAGAAACGTGGGTCAAGTCCTTTCTCCCAAGAATAGGGATGATTCAGAGGTTTATTAAATTCCCTTAGACCACTGAGACAGGTGAATTCTAGGTGGAAGGGCCCAGTTCTTAATCGCACTTTAGAGATATGATCCTATAAGAATTCTAGAATGAAATTTTGAGAAGATTCCAGTGAAATTCTCTGAAAACTACGGAAGAATTCCACCCAGAATTCTAGCCAGGTGTCAGAAAGGGCCTCTCTCTGTGTGGCACTCCCCAGGGCCGGGCACAAGCAACCTCCCTCTGAGGCTGGTACACAGGAGACTGGACGAGAGTCAGCACCTGGGAGTGGACAGCTCCCAGCCCCTACTCCGCCCCGCCCCTTTCGGCCTCGTCCACCCGCAACAGTCCTCGGGTGGAGTGAGAGCACCGTCCCCACTGGTGAGACAGAGTGTTTGGAAGTGGTCACTTAAGGGAGACACCGAGCTGAAGGTCAGACAGTATAATCTGATCTACCCTTTCACATTTAAGGCTTCCTTCTTCAACTCCCTTCTTTCCAGATTTTGTCAGGGCGCTCTCATTTTGGGGCCCTGGATCCCAATCTTTAAAAGCCTTAGCATGCCTGACTGCAAGCTCCAGCCCCAACAGTACACCACCCCCCATTTCAGTCCTAAAACAAGCAACAGTGTTTGTGTGTGTGTTTAAAATAATTTAGGTAAGCAGCTTCAGAAACAGCCCAGTTTTGGTACTCCTAACCGTGTTCAGGCTTAGGGATGGTGGTCTTCAGGAGTTAGACCCCTCCTCCAGATATTCCAGGGTATCTAAGAGAGGGTCCTTTCAGGGAAGTCAGTTCAGAGATGCCTGTGCCCCTAAGCCTCAGAGAAAGCGAATTGTGAGGCTGTCTTGTGAGATGGGGAAACAAGCTTTTCTGCGGTGCCCTTCTTCCACTTCCCTAGACTGAGGGATTCCCTCTGCCTGGAGCTGCACCAGGCAGGAAGGAGGCTGTCCAGGTGTGGACCAGGGGTTTCCTGCTCTCCTATCAGAGGAAACTCTCGGCATCGTCAAGCTCCATTCTTCCAGGTGGACACCTAGATCCGGACCCCTCCTATAGCTCTGGGAACACCTGCAACCTCATCAACACTACTACGTATTTCAACATTCCTGAGACTAAAAAGGACTGATTCCCCTGAGTCCACTGAAACACAAATTTAAAACCAAAAAGACTTCCTACATTACTATTTCATCCTCATAACCTTATAATTTTTTTATTTAAAAATATCCCTGTCTGGCTCAAATGGTTTTGTCTTTATCTCTATGCATTGTTTTTTGCAACAGTGGGCAGAGGGTTGTAAAATGACCGGCTGCTCCCAACTGGGTCATTTTTTAGTGATGAAAAGATATTTTGTTCTCAAAGGAGGTGCATGTGCATGTTTGGGAACTGAAGGAGTGTAAAGAGATTAGTGCAATGCTTTGTACTAGGAGCGTGTGTGAGTCTCTGTAAGGTCTGGGAGGGGCAGTGAGTGTATGTTTTGGTGCCCAGTGGATGGGTGTGAGCGAGGTTGTAGGGTAGAAATCCCACCCGGAAATCTCCAGGGTCACTGTACCTGGCCTCTGTACAGTCACTTGACTCTGTGTCTCCATCCCCCAGAGCCCCAGCTCAATCCCCCAAATGAAATGAGGCCACCGTGAGAAACCGGGTCCGGCTTTGCATCTCATTTACATAAATATTTATTAATCGTCATTAAACTGAACAGAAACACGCAATGCACTTCGGGTGTCCGACGGGAGTTTCATCTTCGCTACAAGAGGAAGGTAAAATTGCGTGTGAGTGTGTGGGTAAGTGTGTGGGTGTGTCGCCTGTGGGTTTGCATTTTTGCATCGTGTGTTTGGATGCCTGATCTGCCTCTGGTGGGGAGAGGTTCTCCTTTTGCTCCTTTCTCTGGGAAACCTCCAGAAGGAGCCCTCAGCCCTCTCCCTGCCCACCTGCTAGCCAGAGCCAAGAGGACTCCTCAGACAAAAAAAAACCTCTCCGGCCACCGGAAATCGCCGGGCGCCTGGCGCCCACCGAGGCACATTCGGGCAGGGGCGGGGCTGGCCCTAGGTCTTGGTCTCCACCCTCAACCCGGGATGAGGATTGCCTGCGGGGAGCGAGGGTTCGGCGAGCTCTCCTCCCTCTGTCCCCGGACGCCCGCGCCGGGCCTGCGTGTGCGTGCGGTGTGGTGTGCGTGTGTGTGTCTCTCATGCAAACCCTCCCTCCCCAAACCGACCCCCCCAACAGTTTGCCATTCCATACAAATTTGGAAACAGGTTTTTAAAAAACAGCATGACGCACAATGGGGACGGGGCGGGGGAGGGCAGTGGCACTGGGGCCCCAAATCTCCGAGTCACTGATTGTAAGAACCTGGGGAGGGGAGGGGGCGGCGCCGGCCCCCACTTCACCAAAGTGCACAGATCCGCGCTTGGGCGGCGCGGCCCGCGGGCCGGGAGGGGCATCCCGGGGCCGGGCCGGGCCGCTAGGCTCTGTCAGAACCTCCTTGCATAGATATTTGTGTCTTTTTATTATTGGTAGTAGTATTTTTTGCCTTTTATTGCTTCTAAAAGTTCTTACTGCGTTTTCTCTCCGATCCGGACTCTGCGTTCGGCCTCCGTCGCCTCTTAGCTTTTTTTTTTTTTTTTGTATGTTTGTTTGTTTGTTTAAAAAAAGGAAAAGGGAAAAACGGATTCTAGTTACAAATTGTCTTGGCCTCTCTCTTTCCTCTCAATCCACACTTCCTCCCGCCAAAATTAAAATCACAAAACGCTGAGACTAGGGGTTGGGGAGAGGGCGTTCCAGGTCCAGACTCGGGCACCCTTTTGCCCTCTTCAAGAAAGAGGGGGCGCCTGGCTCCTTTCTGCCTCGGCAGCTCGGTGTCTGTTATAATAATAATAATAATAATAATGATAATGATAATAATAATAATAACAACAACGACAACAATAGAGGGAAAACAGTATCCCACAGCTCAGCTGCCCCCTTGCCAAGGCCTTTGGGCCTGCAGGGGGGAAGGGGAGGAGGAAACCTAAGTGTAGGATTTGGGAAATGGGGGGTGGTCTCCAGGGAGTGCCCCAAGAGGGTTCCCTGGAGAACCACCCCTGGGAAAGAGGAGGAAACCCCTTGGGGAGAGAGAAGGCGAGTCCCCTGGGGGAAGCGAGGCCCCTGGGACGGGCCACCCACAGGTCAGAGGACTGCACTGCCCCAGAGAGGGTCAGTACCGGCGGCCCGCTCCCCGCGCCCGGCGCCAGGATAGGTGGGGGTCTCCTTGCGCTCGGGGGAGGGGGCGGGAGCCGGGATGCGGGCAAAGGCAAAAGAAAAAGAAAGGGGCAGGCGCGAGGTCTCAGTTATGGAAAAACGCATTGAGCTCCTCGTACATGGGGCCCCGGTCGTGGTGAAGGTGCATATCGTAAGACAAGAGATTCTCCGAGTGGACGCCCCCGCGCACAGCCGACGAGCCGAAGACCAGCCCGTGGCCCGTGGGCCGCGAGCCGGGCAGCGCCGAGTAGTGCATAGAATAATGGTAGCTCTTCTCGTGGTCGGGCGACGAGTCCTGCTTGAGCGAGAAGTTGCCATTGAGACAGAGCGGGGGGCTGAGCGGGCCCTCGTACTCGGAGCTGTTGTAGTCCGGGCTCGCGCCGCCGCCGCCCGCCGCTGCATACAGTGTCTCGTAGGCGGCGCAGTAGCCGTGGGTCCGCAGGGCGTGCGCCGCACCGCCGCCCAGGCCGCCCGCCGCCTGGCACTGTGCGCCCGCCAGGCGCGAGCACGGGTACGGGTAGGGGTGCATGGCGAACGGGCCCCCCGAGCCGTGGAAGCGGCCCGTGCCGTCGGCGCCCTGCTCCGTGAGGAAGTTGCGCGAGTTGAGCTGCAGGCAGCCGGCCACCAGGTTGGTGGTGGGCTGCGACAGACCCTTACACAGCGTCTGCACGTAGGACACCAGGTCGGGCCGCTTGCCGGAGCGCAGGATCTCCGAGAGCGCCCAGATGTAGTTCTTGGCTAGGCGCAGCGTCTCGATCTTGGACAGCTTCTGTGTCTTGGAGTAGCAGGGCACCACCTTCCGCAGGTTGTCCAGCGCCGCGTTCAGGTCGTGCATGCGGTTGCGCTCCCGCGCGTTCGCCTTCTGCCGCCGCAGCTTGGAGCGCTCCAGGCGCGCCTTGGTCATCTTGCGCTTCTTGGGCCCGCGCTTCTTGGGCCGCTCGCCCTCTGCCTCGTCCAGCCCTTCCTCCTCCTCCTCTTCCTCCTCCTCCTCGCCCCCCAGCTCGCCTTCCTCCTTGACCTCGGCCAGTGCGGCCTCCGGAACCTCGTCTGCACGGAGAGGGACTGGCTTGGCAGCCCGGGCGGGCCCCGGAGCCCCGGGCCCCGGCGGCGGCGGCGGCGGCGGCGGCGCGTCGCCCTTCTCGCTCCTCGGCTCGTCCTCGTCGCCGTCGCCCCAGCTGGCGAACTTGGGCACGTCCGAGAGGAGACCGGGCTCGCTGAACAGGCGGGTCAGCATGGTGCCTGAGGGCGCCCCGCGGGCGGGAAGGGGAGACAGATAGCACTGAGTGAGGGGCGCGCTGGGGTCACGCCGCCCCCCCAACCTGCCTCCACCCCCGAGTCCGGTGTGGGTTCCTGCCCAGGGGGCCCTGGCTGCCCACCTCCTCCGCCGGCCCCGCCCAGAGCCGGCCCAGCCCTGCCCCGGCGGCCCGCCGGGGTCTCGGCCAGGCCCTCTCCCCGGCGCTGGGCCCCGGCTCCGCCCCTCGCCTGAATGAGGGGCCGCCGCCCGCGCTCGGGGCTTCTCGCGGTCAGGGCAGGGACCGCGTCGGGGCTTTAGGAAAGCGACATCTTCGCGGGGGGAGGCGGCGCGCTCGCCCTGAACGCCGGTTCTCCCCTGGCGGTGGAGGAAGGCTGGGCAGCCGCGGGTGGGGACAGCTGCCCCGCTCGGCGGCTCTGGCGGCCCGGGCCCCTCGGTCCCGCTCCCCCACCCCTCCCGCGGCTCTCACCCCCACGCTCCCTAATCCAATTTGCAACTTGGCCGCGCGCCGCCCTCGGCTCGGCCCCCACCCCCGCAGCCCCAATTCCAGAGGCGGGAGGATCGTCTCTTCTAGCCGTGGCGTCCCCAGCTCCCCGAGCCGGCTCCGGGCGGCGAGGACCTACGAACCCAGGCGTGGGGAGGAGACGGAGAGAAGCGAGCCCCGTCCGTCTCCCCTGCGGTCAGGGACCCCTTTCCCCGCTTCAAACTGCCTCCCTCCCTCACGACTCTTCAGATCTCGTTATATTTCGGGGTTGATGGGTGGGGGAGAAATCAAATTTGTTTGCTTTTCTTTTTTCCTTTTTTTCTTTTTCTTTTTCTTTTTTCTTTTTTTTTTTTTGGTGGTGAGGAAAGGTCGCAGGTTCCTCTGGGACAACCATGGGGGGAGTACCCATCTCAGCCTCTTCACTGCCCCCCATGATCCTGCTTTTCTCCCCAAACCCAGCGCAGGCAAAGACGCCTCCCTCCGCAGCCCCCTGAGCTGCAGCCCCTAGGGGAGAGGGAACCCAGGGCACCTCTGATGCCCACCCTATGAGGGGGCATCGTCCCAGGAAGGGGGTTTGGGGACCCTCTTGTCGGCCGAAGCAGCCGCCCTCCCCCCACCCCCCCCCCCACCCGGCGGGTCAGATCCAGCTCCCTTTCGGACAACTTACCTCGGAGAGGAGTCAAGGGGAGAGGGGAGGGGAGGGGGGGGGAGGGGGGCAAGAGAGAGAGGGGGGAGAAGAGGAATCTTCTCGCTTATTTCATTGTTCCCCCATCTTCAGGGAGCGGGGGCAGCGGCTCCTCAAGGCGGCGGGCGCCGGCGTCTTCAGAGCGCCATGCGAACCGCGGAGCGAGTGTGGCATCTCTACCAGGCGGGGTACCAGCCTCTATGCCAGGCCATATGGGCTTGGCACGTCACGGGCAGCAGCTATCACATGAGAGACGGTGATTGGCATGCGTCTGCATTGGGGGAGAGCCGGCTCCCCCGGGACCCGCCGCCATCTGTCACTCTCTACTCCAAACAAAAAAAAAAAAAAAAAAAAAAATTAAATAAATAAAGGAAATAAATAAATATCTCTGCCGCCCTCCCCTCCCCGCCCAACGCAGGGAAAGCAGGGATTGAGAGGGAGGTGGGAGGAGTTGCCCCCCTCTGATGTAGAGCCCCCCACATGGGAACAATGGGGTGGCAAGCCTGGAAATTGGGGGTGTGGTGGCCCCCAATTCTATGCTCCCTCCAAGGTCCTGCTCTGTCCATTTCCTCCCTTGCAGGCCCCCAAAGGTGGGTCAGAGACCAAATCCTCAGGTCTGGAAGAAGGGACCTTTATGCTTGCCCCCACTCCCCAGGAGGATCCCCTCAGCCACAAAGGGACAGCTGAGGCCCCCTCCCAGGGTGGGCGTGGGGGGTGTCCCTGGCCCAACCCCATAGGTAGATGTTGGCACCATGCCATCCCTCATCCCTGTCTGCCCCTCCCCCACCCACCCTCACGCACACACAACATATGTGGCTGAACGAAATTCAAACCAAGGAAAAGACAGAGAAAAGGAAAGACTTGCCTGGATGTCTGTGCCTCTGTATGGGCGTGTGTGTGTCTGTGGGGACATGTGTGTATATCTGTGGAGTCAGCCTATGGGAGAGATTTCCTTGGGTGTTTGGGGGAATATGCATGTTGAGGTGGGGGTGGAGAAGAGCCTCTGGAATAAGCCTGTGCACCCATCATTGGGAGTGAGGGAGAGGGTCTCAGTCTGGATTCCTAACCCAGAAATCTCTCACTCATTCCCCACCCCCCACCACCTCCTCCCCTGCTAGACAAGCAACCATCCCACCAGTGGCTTTCTCTCCTGGCCTTCTGACTTATTGAAGGGAGGAGGAGGGGGCTGGGCTGGAAATTGCCTGAAGTTCCTGGAGAAGACTCAGCATTCTCCTCCCCGTACAAAAAATACTGAAAATACTGAAGCCAATTCCAGCAATCTTGAGAGGGACAAAGGGGAGGTGGGTCAGACAGGTGTCTTGATAAAGAAGGTAGGAAATTGCTGTTTTTTTTCTTACAGCTCACCTTTCAACTCTCTCACTGGGCCAGACACAGAAGCAAATGGCACAAATTGAGGGGGTAGCTTTAGACACACACACACACCCGTGCCTCACCCTGTGGCGCAGAAAGTGCAAAGACATCCTGACTCAGACATGTGTGTGAGCAGGTAATCACAACCTGGTGAGAAAGACCCTTGCCCACACCTTGATTCAGCATTTGTGTGTTTCAGACCCACATTTCCTGTTCCTCCCCGTCCTCCAGCTTACGTAGACAACTCGGTTATATCTTCCGCACACACACTTCGATGTCAACCGTGTGCCAAGCACTGTGGTGGCACAATGATGAGCAAGGCAGGGGCTTTGCTCTCAATCTGGGCAGGTACCGTTTTCTCCCTCAGGGAGCCTCCAAAGGGGACCTTGGGCTGCTAAGACACTGATTGGATCCTTGGTAGAATGAATTAGGTTTCAGATAGAGGCATATACCATGGCTAAGGAGGCCTTGGAGAAGAGGGGTTGGTGCTGTCTGAAGCTCTCAGGGATAGCTGGCCAGGAACTAAAAGGAGCCTCAGAATGAATAGCCCCAACTTGTTGTTGTTTTTTTTTCCTGAGACCCATATAGGGGGACTGTCTTGCCCAGGAACACACCAATGGAGAGCAGAACCAGACCTAGAACTTAGGGGCTTGACTCCCAGCCAAGTGCTCCTTCCACAACCCCACAATCTGTCTCAGTGGTCCCCAAGGATGAGAAGCCAATGCTAGGTTCTCCACCATTCATGCGTGTATCTTAGGTCTGAGAAGGTAGAATCCTACCTATGGCAGATGGTCTAGGGCGCTCTGGGCATGGCCAGAGGGAGAGGCCAAGGGATAGGTCTCAGGTAGGCTGAAATTCAGGAATGCTATCCAAATTTGATCACAGCCTCAAAAGCTTTACTGTCCCTTTACTGAGGGTGGGGTCTTCAATCCTGACATGGGATTCTTCTCCTCAAGTCTCCCAGCCATATATTTTGGTTACATTCACATGCTTTGGGCTCTGATTTCTCCCCAACCCCACTTACTAGCGTCAAAGAATGCTAACTACCTTGAGCAGGTTGCATACTGTCTCTCAGTCTTGATTTCCCCATCTGTAAAATGGGGATAATTATACTACACCTCATAGAGTTGCTGTTGGTACTAAATGGAATAATACCTATAGTGAGGTAGCACAGGGCCAGTGATATAGTAAGCATTCAATAAATGCCATCTCTGAGTTTTATTAAAGCCTTTTATAAACTGTAACATGCTCTACCATATTAATTTCTTTTACATACCCACACACACATTCAGAATGCTTTGTCTATACAGGAATTGAGTTTTTGTTGAATTAGTGGGTGAATGAATGGATGCGTAAGAGAATGAATACTTCCTTGGGGGAGAGAGACACACTCTGCCTTCTCCTCTGGACACTGAGGGATGGGTTAAGCTACCAGGGGTCTCAAAGACCCCTACCAGCTTTGCTTTCTGCTCAGGGCAGGAAGAAATACCTCGTTCGGGATAAGGGGGCCCCTGGGAAGTCTCTCCATCTCTCCCGGTCTCCTGTTAAAAATGACCTCGGCTCTCTGGGTCTGAGAAGGTCCTCTCAACGCCCCCACAAGAGGAGGCCTGGGGGTGGGGGTGGGCATACTGGAGGGTATGGGCAGCTTCATCCCTCTAGGTCTGTTTCCTGCCCCTGTCTTTTCTTCCTTCAGAAAAATGGAACAAGTTTTTCTCACTCGACACGTTTCAACTTTTTTTTTAGAAGATACAATAAAAAACAGGGGAAAATTGGAACAGAGGGAGGTGTGGGATGGGCCAGCCTCAGACATAGGCTTGGAAGAGGTACAACACACACGTGTCCACATCCACACGAACAAGTATGAACACACAGGGACATGCATGCTCCTCTCTGTTCACCCAGAGATGCGGAGATGCAGTGACGGAGAGACAGAAAGAGCCAGAAATGGAAGGAAGGAGACGGAAGGAGAAGGACACCCAGAGATGCCATCTGTTCCTCCCCCTGGCATTGGGGGAAGGGAGTTGGTGAGGGGCCTAGTCCCCTCTGGGTCTCGGAGAGGGAAAGGGGAGTGATGGGTACCTCAGCCAGGCCTGTAAGACTCCCTTTCTACTGCCCACCCCCATAGAGGGAGCTGGGAGGAGGGTCTGAGGTTCCCATGGAGACATAGCCCCATCCCAAGGGAGGCCACAGTCTGGGCACCTAAAATGGCTGCCTCAGAGGGGTGGCGGCCATTTTGTGCAGGCTTAGGTCCTGATGGGGGGCAGGGGGGAGGCAGGCAGAGAGAGAGGGAGAGAGAGAGAGAGAGGGAGGGGACAGGTCATTCCTGAGCAGTCTAGGGGAATCTTGCTCAGGGGACAAGATGAATGTTCTGTAAAACTGCTCTCATTACACCCCCTGCTCCACCAAGGTAAAGACATACACACAAATCTGTAAAGGCTCCAC